GGTGCACGCTACGCAGCGGAAAAGTAATTAAACTTTGGCGGGGGGGGGGGACATAGAAAGGGAGAATGCGAGAGAGAGAGAAGGAAGTTTTGTGATCAATATCGGGAGCCACGGCTGTTTACAGCATCTGTGCGCTTGCCCGATCGTGCACCGCAGCCCTTTTCTGCTCGTTATTACGGCGACAGATTCTGCCCCGTTTCAACAAGCGCGTCTCGACAGCTCATTAACGACGTCTGTCATTCGCCCTTCATCGGGTTGATGCCAGCGGAGAGCGTGCGCGGCGGTCATACTGCATGACAAAAGGTCTCCAGCAACGGATCCAACTCGTACCTGCGCAGGATCGCTGCGCGAGAGCAAACACTAGAACGTGTTTTTAATGCGCACCTTAGAATGGCTTCTGACAATTATTTAGGGCCACTGAACGGCCAGAGTAGAGTGACATATTGAGGTATTTTATAGCCACTGCACACCTGTGCCCAGCAACCCTGGAGATGTATCACCAAGCACAATGCCTGTTGTGAAATTGATTTTTAAGACCCCATGACGCCACTCCCAAGGGATAGGAATTGTGTGCTTGGAACAATGGACTGAACTTAAACATAACCTGGAACTATTAAGTTGCGCTAAACTTATCTTGTCGCGAGCTTTACAGGCTAAGGGGCCCTATAAAGCGGCGTTCTTCATTGCAAGGCCCGCGGGACACTGGTGGCCCCTGGTCGCCCCTGGTGGCCTTTAGTGCGGCTCCTGGCGTGCGGCCCCCACAATACACGAATGTGAAAATACCCCCCACCATCATTGTGCTGCTGTCAAACCGCAATGGGTTTCAAATGTGTGGCGGCCCTCACACTGATGTCTAATCGGCAAAAGTTCCCCCCCCCCCCCTCTGAAAATGAGTGACTAACACTGACATGAAGGTTCCAGGAGCGTTCCCCCTTTGGCAAAGCTGCTGCAGGGCAACAAACGACGCTCATACAGAACTGCCTGATGGGATACCGCCACTTGACCACCGTAAGGGGAAGAACTGGATGCCAGATCAAGCTGGGAGTTAACTGTACATGCTACGCCGAGACATCTGTCTTAGAGCAAACTAAATAAAGAGGGGAAAAACAAAATACATTAACTCCATATACTCCACATAGAATTACAGAGCGAAAGCAAAATCTGAGCAGCCAACCTTGCGCAATAGATGGACTTTTGGCTCGGAAGGACATATAAAATACACATGCATTATTAAAAAGTGAGATTTAAAACATATATAAACATTGGGAAGTAAAAAAAAAATGTTTTTTTTGAATGATTGCAAAAACAGGTCAAAGCAAGTCCACAAACAAAAGCAAAACAAAACAGGCCGTGCCTGATATCACGAGGGCCACGTGAGGGTGTCTCCGTGAGGCCCGACGAACTCGGTGAAGAGGAGGGCGAGCAACAAAAGAAGAATATATATAAAGAAAAAATAAAATTGACATCCAATTTCAGGGGTGATATATGAATGCAGAGTTAATATTGATAGTCGGGCTGTCCGGGTGCAGCGATCTGTCTAGCACGCCCGTTACAAAGCCGTTAGTTTTGATTCGGCCGCCCCGGATCGATACACGGCCATACTGTTTCAATTTGGGCCACATTGATTTTCACCCGACACCCCAACCTCCAGGCATCCGTCTTGCTCCGAGGAAAGGGCGCGATTCGATTTGCTGGAGAAAAATTGCACGGGCCCCTGCACCAGGTTATTAACCCTGCAGCCCGTGGGATCGCTCGCAGAACGCGCCTCGCACTCCTCTCCCCCGAAAAAGTTTAGCGGCAATTTCGGCGACAAAACACCCGAAACGTATTGGATTCACTGCTCGAGTGCTCGTGGGTTGCTTTTTACTTTTTTCGCGGTCAAGAGGCGCGTGGGCCTGCCTGATAGTCGCGCTCCGGGGCAGCTCAAGCGGGCGGGGAAAAACAAGTTCAAGGCCGAAGAGCGCGCGAGAGCTTGGCAGGCTGACGCCGCGCGCCGGGAGAGAGAGGGCGGCGTGCGCGAGCGGGTTAAGCGCGGGGGGGCGGGGGCGGTGGTGGGGGGGGGACGGTGACACCGGAGGGCCTCTCCAAGATGAATGTGGTCGTGCGACTCCGGGGGCGACCGCCGGCAACCCCTGCTGCTTCGCGGGGGAGAGACGCGGCAAAAAATGAAGCCTCACGTCGGCACCAAATCATTCCGTCTCCGCATCGACGGTTCCACCGTGCCGGCTCCCTCGCGTGGAACGAAATAAAAAAAAATCTGACGCTCAAGGCCATGATGCCATTTACCGTTTTGTGTTTTCGTTATTTAGGTTTGTTATTGTTTAGCTAGATCTATGGCATATTGACGCAGATATGCTGGTTTGACAAGATGCACTATTTCTGACACTACATTTTAAATAATGATTATTAAAAACACAAAGCCAAAATTTAAAACCGATTTAAGCGCGGCCTGTCATAGAGCCATGTGTACATTAGCAATGCACAAGAAACCACAGTCCAGATGGTTGCTTGTAACTTTTATAATAATCCATCACAATAATCTGGATTCACGTGTCGATGTTAATCTTGCAGAGAAATGGTGCTTACTATTATTTTGCATGATGATTTAAATAATGAGACTGTTCTGTACAAGATTAAATTGCAAACGTGAAATATTATACATAGGCATGAAATGACTAAAATAAGCTGTAATGATAATTATACATGCATGATAGACAGACATCATATTAGATTTAAAAAAAATTAATAACACCAATTGCAACTTAAGTCTACAGATTACTTTTTCACACCTCCTTACACCGAGATACCCCGAGACAGCCCACGTATCAACATCGTGCACGAACATACAGAGATGGAAAACACAAACGATATTTCAACGCTTTGTTTGGTTCCTCCGTGTTGTTTTGTTTATAGAATTGCGGCAACGACTGCGGTCGCGCGCAGGCACCCATTAGTCAAACGGTGGGGCAACAGCGGGAAGAATCCAAGAGCAACACAGAGGCCCCGGCATTGATCACGGGGCACGGCGAATGCCCACGTTCTACACAACAGATGTCACCCAGCGGTTGGGTTGTGTTCGCAAACTTCGGACGGCTGCGACCACAGAATCGCGGGGGAATTCAAAGGGTTTCAAACCCCCCCCCCCCCCCACTTCGCCGCTCTCCCCCAAAATATCTGGTCCACGGAAAGATAAAAAACAAACCTCAAAAGCACTCGGGTTAAGGGAAGCACGATGTGGGTCAACTTTAACCAAGATTCATTGCTGTCATTGTGCTCAGGCACTATGCGCGAGATTCATCTTAACTATGCTCGAGGGACTCGAGTGAACAAAAACCCTCGGCATATTTAACAAACATTAAATATCTGATTTTAAGCGTTTTCTCGCGATCAAACGACGGTCTGCGTTTTCAGACGACCGCGCGCGTTCCGAGCCTGAAGAAGGGTGGCGCTGCGGGAGGTCATCGGCGTTAAAACATTTTGTGCGGCGCGCGCACGTGCGGTCCACCGATGGGGCCGATCGCTAATTTCCAAACACGGAAAAGGAAGCGTCGAATTAGTGCCGAACTGATGGACGATCAAAAAAAAAAACACCCCACACACAGCCTGGTAATCGCAGAAGCTCCAAGCTCTCCGCTCCACGTGGCCGCTCCAGGCGCGACTCCCTCCGCCTGGCAAAAAATATCGACGATGTGGCAATCAGCTCCGTTTACAGCGGCTTAAACACCCGCAAGGCCGCGACGGCACGGCCCACAGAGGACGGCCGTAATAAGGCTGGCTCGTTTTTTTTCTCCTTTCCTTTCCTAGGAGGGCGACGCGGCATCAGTCAATACCGCCCCCCAGGCAGAGGGGCGAGCCAACGGCACGACGGATTCAAGAGCCGAATGGCTCACAGGGCTATACCAAAATAAATAAACTAAGAAACTATGAACTCGACGAGGCTGCACCCGCCGCGCAAACGTCGCGGCGGGCAAGGAGACGGCATCGCGCCACCGAGAGATGCGCGAGCGTGGCACGTCCCCCCTCTGCCGAATTGTGCGAGGGGAACATCCATCTGAAGCTATCCGAATGCGGCAAGGGGACCACCGTTTAATGAACCTTGGAGCGTTGCCCCATTGTTAATTTCTTTCCCGTGGGGCTACCCAGAGATGCTTGCGCGTAGAGCAGCGTGCGCCGAATCGCACTGAGAGCATGCGTTTGTTTTGTTGTAACGCTTTCCAACGAAGGCTGAGATGCGCGCACACACACACACACACGCATGAGTTCAGCCTGCCCATTATCCATCATGTGGAGGGCACCATAATTCTCGCAGAGATGATGCAAGATGAAGGAATGCGTAGAAGGGAGCTGTGTTGCTATTTGCGACCTGCCCTATTGAAACGGGTTAAATTGATCCAAGGGTTGCCCAAACCCTGGAGACTTACATTTTTTGCAAATAAGTGAATTAATTTTGCTCTGACAGCTACCTGTTGGCTTCCACACTATTTATTAAACACTTCCTAAGATAAATTTTGATTTAAAGCTTTCGTGACTGCAGGGATTCATATTCTTGGTTCTTTCGGTAAAGTCACGTAGAAGGGAAACAGTAAAATAACATATTTTTATTATTTTATTGTTTCCCTTCTACGTGACTTTACTGAAAGAACCAATAAGATACTTCCTAAGATAATCGCACTGTGGAAAGTGTTCGTGCGTATACACACAAAAGCAACACGTTAAACCAAATGCCACACTTTTCCAGCTGCTTTAAAAAAATTTGCACAACTATTAGATTTCTGTCTCTCATTTGTACCAGCAAGGATCTAGTCAAGTCGTGGAAGGAACGACACCGATAGCTATACGTGTGCTGTATGGCCGTCCTCCGATGTGTTTTCTGGTTGCACCGCGTGTTGTGCTGGCACCTCACGCCGAAGGAAACGTGGTACACGATCTCAAAGCGCGTCGGATATGGCAGTCGCCAATCGTGCGGATGGGACGGGGGGGGGGGGCGGTCGGGCGCATACCTCTGCAAGACGTGGCCCCACGCCCCGTGCCGCTTGCTCAAGATGTCCACGATGCGGTGGTGGAGGCGTGTGGCCATCACGCCGTCCCTGCGTCGAGCCGCGCCGATCATGTGGTGGCACAGCTTCTCCTCCTCGCGGCGGTCGGCCGAGTACTGCGCGCAGTGCGACTGCGGGGGCAGAGCGCGAGAGTAAAATGTGAACTTCCCACTTGGGGTTTCAGCGCTCTCGTGCCGGTTTCGAGTGGTAACCACGTGCCGTTGGAATCCAGTTCCCGAAGAAGACCCTCGTAACGCGGAGGGGAACGTCGGACATCGTGCCCGACGACCTGCGGCAACAACCCAAAAAGTTATGACGTCACTTTCAAGACGCGGAGGCAGAAGTCAAAGACGGTCACCACAACATGAAGCGGAAGCACAGGAGCGACGGCAGACATTGCTACAAAGGTGATGAACAAGTCACCCAGCATCCGCCCGATCTCGTCAGTTCTTAGAAGAAGATGTCCGCGATGGCCCGTAATGAAACTCGGGTTGCCAGATTCAGCGCGCCATCGCAGCACCGCCCCTAGCAATGTGATACTCATTCATACGAGAGAATTAACAAGAAATCATGGCACTGATGCTCTAAGAAAGGGCTTCGTTTTCTAAAGGCCATGCCACCCTGAATGGGCCCGATCCCGTCAGATCTCGGTAGCCGAGCAGTGTTGAGACCAGGGTTAATACTTGGACAGGAGACTGCCTTAGGAATACCGTGTGTTACAGGCTTGGGCTGCGAGGTTGGGCAAGGAGGCAGAAGGAAAGCAACTGAAGCATGAATATTCATTTCTGTATGGAGCTTTGTTTGCATTATCTCCTCGCGTGTGATGTTTATCTCCAGGTTCTCTGTTTTCCACCCACAAGCCAATCACTTATAAACGGAAGTGGCCCAGTACTGAATTGGAGGACCCTCTTGAAAAACAGTCTTAAGGCTCCACAACGGTTTCTCAGGTGAATAAATCGCATGGTTACGATTGTTATTATGAAACCAACACCAGGACAAAGGACGTAGTAGGGGTATTGTCATAGACCAGGCCTCGTTAAAAGACTCCCAAAGGCTAAAATAAGCATAGCTTAATCCCTTAAGCAATAATAGGCTTAACCTTCAACTCCCAAAACAAACACAGATAGAGAAACTGTTCTGCTCATAGCCTTGATAGTACTGCAGCCTGTTGACCAACAACTGCGTTCATGCACTTTGCTATTAACCTGGCGGGCTGAGGTCGATTCCCAGACATGGGCTAAATTAGCTGGATAGTAATATCCAAACCAGTCCTAGACTGTCTCGCACTAAAACCGCAGTGACCAGTGTGGTGAAGCATGGTTAATCAACCCTCACGACCGACACGGCACGAGGAGGCCTTCATCCAGAAGTGAACTGACAAATGGGCTGTGTATTATTTAACGGGGGCACGTGTTAAAAATATAATTAAGATGAATTTAGGCAAATTATAACCGAGTTACGATGGCTGTCGATGGACGGTCTGAAGGAAGGCGAACACTTCCAAAGCCCATTAGTACGTAAAAATATTAAAAACACTACACCAAAGGGGTGGACCAGTATCTTCATTTTATTTAACTGGGGCATCAAGCGCGCGCACACACATACACAAAGTACGCGCGCAGTCATTGTTCACAAGGGAGCCGTGGGGAGAAAACTGTGGAACGTGGCACAGCAAGCGGGCACGGGGAACGTCATTCGATCGTCGCTTCGTAACAGAGACAACTTGCTTGTATGCTCTTCAGAGCCTGCCAGAAATACAACTAAACATCCCCCTCCCCCGTCATATTCCACCGGTGTTGACAAGAACACTCCATTTCTCATTTAAATATCATTCCTGTCCAGAACCAAACACGAACCCCCCCCCCCCAATCCCACCCCGAACATGTTAATGTGTACGGCTTTATTTATTTCAAAGTCATGTTCAAACACGTCACATTTCCTGGCTCTTGGCAGCAATTAGGAGCAAAGGTAACGCGGACGGGCGGCCACAGCCCACGTCCCTACCCCTCCACGTCCGCCCGCCCCAGACAAGTGCACGTCTCTAATGATGGGCCCTCGTTAAACAGGATTAGCGTCGCCTTGTTTGTGTGGTCCTCACCAGCACGACTGGGCTGTAACTGGCCGGAGGTCGCAGAGGGTGGGGGGGGGGGTGAACGGCAGGGAGGAGATTCAACCCCCAGCGCCACGTTGGTGTAACGTGGTTTACAGGGCATGTCCAGAGCGTGACCAGATTTGGAAGGACCTGGTGCTGTGCAAGCCTGTGATCTAGCCCCCTGACTTATGAATGTTGTCAAAGTTGTCATCGCCATCACCATCATTTGTCATCATCGTCATAGATCAAGGTTGGTGAATCAACGTTATAAAGCTCAAGTATAGATTCACCATCATTACCCGGTCGGTGGTTCAGGATAATGTATACGAATGATCACATGGAATATCATCAACATAATCATAGCCATCAGGGTTGGTGTGTCAAGCTAAAGCATAATAATTAACACATCGTTGACAGTCCTTAGTCAGTTCACTGCTGTGTCCATCTTGAGCGTTGTGTGGACATACTTCTCCACGGCGGTCACTACGGGTTGCTGATGAGCGAGTGCGGGCCCCAGGACCGGGTCGGATAGCACTCCCCACTCGTGTTCATCCACCTCACACGGCGGCTAAAGCATTCAACGCATCAAATACATTGTCATCATCGGGGCTCGAGGATCATGCAATGGTCTCCGCATCACAGTGGCATCAACGATGCCAAACACGGATCAGCGTTAATTCCAGCGACGGACAGTCTGATGGAAGTGAATTGGTCAAAATAAGCAACAATTCAGCTGCTATAATAAAGTGGGGTTCTTTTTTTTTACAATGACAGGGAGACACTTTTTCCCTCAGCCTGAAGTCTGCAATTTCGCCCGCCTCGTGCGGGAATGGGAGAGGGAATTGAAAAAAGCACGGAGAGGAACGGAGACAGAGAAAGAAGACAAACCCTGTAATCCAATTACAGCCTTATCTGGATGCCTGAGGTGGTAAAGGGTTCTTAAGAGAGACCACAGGCTTATCTGCCGCACCATGAAATTCAATTGCCCGGTAATTAGCGAGCGAGGCAGCCAGCCCCCTCCGCAGGAGGCAGGCTAATTATCCAGCCTTCCTTGATGTAGCAAGCGGCCGTGCGGAGACGTGACTGCGGGAGAGAGAGAGAGCACCGAAAACCAAGGAAGCCTCTCAGCGAGAGGCACCATGGCTGCCGTGCTATATGCATCCTCAGAGCACAGGTTTTCTACATTCTTTATAATAATGTGGTGCCCCTTTTGTCAGTCTGATATTGGGGGGTGGGGGGGGGGGGTGAAAAATGTCTCCTCCACGCGGAGTGTCAGACTCAGTTGTTTGCGACCAAGCCCCACCACACCGGTCGGGGAGGACTAGTGAAGAGGAGCACCCGCCCTCGGGGCCGCTCAGATATCACTCGCGCCACTGATGTTAGCCGTGGCCGGGAACCGACGTCAAGCCACCGGGTTTATAGCGCAGCGTGCCGACCACTGACCGAACACTCTCAAATATCAGCAGTGAATGAAATGTGCCCAAGTCTGTTTTGTCACCCACTGAGATCATCGTGGACGCTAAGGTACACGCATCCTTATCATTGTTGGATTCGTTACAAAATGAGAACCTATTCATTGACGTCATGGCTAAGAGGCATGAGTCACAACAAAACACCCAACAAAGTTCCAAAGCAATATCGTATAGGTTTCAGTCAAGGTATTATTACGCTATCTCTTATGCTGGTGTCGCAACGTAACAACAACAACAACAACAAGAGCAGCAGCGAGCGCCACTTGCCATGGGCATGCCAACTGGTTGTCAATATGACACGCAGACGATCTCGCATCCCGATTAAAACCACCGCAGTTGCCTGCGACGGCGAGCGCCTTCGAGCGCAAACGTGCCACGCACCCGTGCACGCAGCCCGAAACATAAAAGCCGCATCATATGTTTTGCACACCATTTAAATAGCCAGCCTGCCTTGTTTCCCACTTTATGGCATATTAAATTGTAACACACTCGGTTGGGTTAGTAACCAGAGATGATGGTTTCCAGACCTAATCCTGATGTTCCATAAGTGTCCATCACAACTATAAAACGCTAACTGCCCCTGAATATGGCTCCGTGTGTTTTTTTTTTAATGTACGCGTTTCTCCGCGGCTGTGTTTCCAATTAAGAAGGCGCGGTGGCGGGCAGTCTCCGCTAACGAGGCACAGCTGTGCGATTGCTCATGTCGCCAACGCCGCCAGGGCCGCCGCCACTACCAGCGCCACACCGCTAGCCCCCCTTTCCCCACCGCCGCTACCAGCGCCGCCGTTATCTACCACGTTCAGTGCCGCGGGATGCTCCACGCTTCGCCGCGAGCATCGGTTCGTCTAAATGTCCTCCGGCTCGCGATAACGGAGCGGCCGAGATGTTTTTTCTTCCCCCCCCCCCCACCTCTGTATCGTTTGAAGCCATCTTGCCGAGAATCAGAATTCTATTAGAGGATAGGAATCGGTCTATAATTGAATTTCCCTGCGTTATCTCAATGCCTGTCCGGTCCTGGGCTCCAATAACTTACTTGGAGATCACGAGGGAGGCACGGGACAAAGATAACTCAATTTTTCACAGTCAGCATATGTCACTCCCCCATACGCTAACCTGATAAAATATATAATTTCGCCCGGCCGTCTTTCACAACGAGGCCTGCACCCTTGGCCGGGAGTGACCGTAAATACAGCGCTATCGGCCAAGCGGACACGCGCCATACATCCACTCCGCGGCCCCGCAGTTCAAAGGCGCCGCAAAAAGGAAACAAAAGCCTCTGATCGCGCAGAATTTACGGTTGCTAGCTTCGGCCGCGCGAATGCCGGGGAATTATGTAGTCATTGTAAAGCCAAAGCGCCCGCCACCCCCCCCCCCCACCAAAAGCTCGAACAGGAATCGTGTCGAACCGACTGATAATCCTGAGTCGTTAGATGAAAATTCCACATTCCTATGCCGAGAAATGGGTTTGCGTAGGGGACAACCTATGTTGAAGTCCCAGCAAAAAAGTGGCAGTCTCACCTTGATCTTGGCCGGAACTAAATGGCTACATAAACGTAGGCGACACAGAACCATACCCTACACGTTAGGGGTCGGATTCAATAAATTGTCTCGATTCAGTGTCATGATTCGATTAAGGAATTCATCATTTTTTTTTACACTGTGTTGAATGGAAGCACCTCTAGCGGCTGCAGGGGTGACACGAACCAAATACATTGGAGAAAAGGGGGGGGGGGGGGGGTGGGGTGGCAGGACCGGCACAGATTTCACTCGACACTGACGTCAACCGTCGCAAGGAAATTAAACCCGGGTTGCCAGCACAGCACGTCAACCACTGCGCCACTGCTCCGCCCACCATTGCACACGGACAACCCACCCAAATTTAAGGCAGCACATTTCGTTGTGGTTCCCTGGAGGGTGTTTCCTGAAGAATACGGAATCCCCGGGAGGTTTCGGATCACCGGGATGATTGTTGGGGAGTATGCAAACCCCCGGTGGCTACCGAGCCCGGCTCCACCACACAGGCAGGTAATTTAGTTATTGTGGACCGATGTGTTTACGGCGGAGGCTCTACCGGCTATAAGCACTGGCCGGCCACAGTGCGCGGAGTGCACGCGTGTCATGGTGAAGCAGACGGTCGCAGCGAGCCGAGCCCCGGCGTAAGGGATGGAATGGGCTCGCTCACCCGGTCCTATTTCCCGGTGCCTGGGTACCACCTATGTGCCCACGGGGGCTTCGGTGCAGATGTACCGCCTGCACACTCGATAGCTACGGCACACTCGATAGCTACGGCACACTGCTCACAAGAGAGCAAGCAGCCTGGCGCACCACCAAACTATGTCCGTTACACACACGTCCATCATCAACGTCATCATTAGCCGCGATCAGCTCACTGTTGGATGAGGGCCTCCCACAAGTAAAAGACAGGTTAATGTAAATTTATTTCCTGTGGCTTCCATTGCGTATGAATAGCTACATATTAACCGGGAAAAGATGTCTTTATTGCATTTAAATTGCAGGCACGATATCAACTGTTATGAAGAGTAAGTGGCCTTGGGGAGGAGACATCGTGGCTTGAGGGAAAGACAGCCGACCGACAAAAATGAGGATAGAATGGCAGCGAAAGCAGTGCCACGCACGACGGGGCGACCGGCCGCGGAAGCAGAGTGATGAGATGCGTTCACGTGGTGCAGGATTGAGAAAGATTGTGGCATCGCAGGCCCAAGCTGGTAAATAATTTCACCGTTATACTATTTCAATTCTGGACAAGGCTGCTTTCAAGAGAAAAAAAAAGGGCAGAAGAGTCTCCAGTTTGTCGAAAAAAGCCTCTTTATTACGAATAAAAATGTGGTGGTTTTAGTAATATTTCGAGAGCCATTTGTCTATTCGCTGCTGGAGGAAGCGCACTTGGACAGGACCCATCGCGAGGAGGGATGATGGCCGGTAGTGGAGGCGAATAATGGAGTGAAAAGCCAAAAAAACGAACACGCCCAAGAGGACGTCCACCGCGGAGACGGAGCGATGACATCAGCCGATGGGCCAGAGCTAGACAGATTGTTGGAATGAGAGACCAGGTGAGAGATGGCAACAGCTTGCAGAGGACGACTTCATCAAACCACAGACAGATGATGATCACGATAATCTTTGTTGAACTTCACAACTGCTGCTCCTCCTTCTACTGGTCGAGAGACAGCGAGCGCCAGCGACAGTGCGGGGAAGGTGGCCTCTCCCGGCGAGGACGAGCGCTCGCACCACCGCGCACACCTCCTCCGTCGCCAGGGCAGCGCGGACAGATCATTATGCATCCTTCTCAATTTGCATTCGCCACTTCCTCGCGAGAGGTACACACGACATCGGTTTCTGATTAAACGCGGCCCGCAGATTTATCTTCAAATGATCGCCTCTGCCCACGCCGTTCATCATCGCCCAGGAGCCTCCGCATCCGTCACGCGCCCCCACCCTGTCCGATTCCGGTGGCTCCGGCAGCGCCAGCACAACAAGTCGCTCTCATTTTGTCGCCATTGTTTTATTTATTTGTATAAAATATATTTATTGTAACCTTCCCCCAGTTTTATCGTGCTGTCGGCATCACGTGAGTAGACAAAGCATCCGCATGGATCTTTCGCAGAGACGTGCCACCCGTCACGTTCTGGAACGGTCTTTCGGAAGTGGCTCACACAGAAGCTCATATGAGATCCCCCTCATCAGGTGACCTCTGGTCCACACGACAGTAGAAGGCGGCACATTTCCCACCTGCTCTGCACACGAGAGTAATTTGATCGCCATTATTACAGCGGCAGCGACGGCTCCAGCGAAAGCGTATCACGCGTTGCCCCCCCTCCGCCTCCCCCCAGCAGCGATGAATTGCTGTGCAAGATTGCCCTGTCTACTCCGTCCGTCGTTCGAAAGACGACGCTCATTATTATTGCGCTGATAAAGAAAATTATGGATTAGCACGGCGGCGCAAAATGCAGCGAAGATTAAGCGTTTCCACGCTAAACATGACAGAGTTTAATCAATGTAAAAGCATAATCTTGGAGCACTCGATGGAACGTTTTTAGGAATCGTAATTATAGATAAGAGTAAATTGATCATTAAACGCAGCGCTTTGTGGCTATATAGCTTTGCTTGTCAACCAAACCCTGGAGAACGTATACCGAGCACCGCAACCATTACCCAAGCTGCACGGCGCACGGGAGAAAATTTTTTTACACAGCTTCTCTTGACTGTGCAACCAAATCACGCTTAGGCTTGCGGCCATTCATTATTTATAATCTTCTTTTTATTCTTCTTATAGACTATGGCAGGCTTGTGATACGTCCAGATTTAAGTTTGTGAAGCTTGTGATAGCTTCGGGGGGTAGGGCGACTTATTACTGTCCAGTTTGCCGGGCAGTGGGCGTAGAATGCAGTTGTTCGCAAGACGATACATTGTTTAATTCGGGCGGCTGTAGATGCCGCACTGCGGGTCGTCATCTTTAATCTTCCACTTGTGGAGGAGGCACCCGTGGCAGCGAGCGGTTGCCGTTGTGTATATTTGTATGCATGCTGAACTTCTTTCGCACCTCAGGAAGCCAAACGTGCTAATCAGAGGTTCTGAAGTGGTTGACGGAGCAACCACGGTTTGTCTTGGCAGATCGCAGTCGTGCGGAGCAGTGGTGGGGCCCTCGACGGGGCCGTTATTTGGAACCTTGGCACAACTCCACGGTGTTCGTCGGCAGTCTTCAGTTGACCCTGCTTCATCCAGGGTCAAGGAGGGTGGGAGATGGTAGCCTTCACAGTCCACCCGTGAAGCGTCTCATCGCACGACAAACACCATCACTTCGGCCTTGTTAGAAGGCATCTATTGTTTACAACATCGGAGCGCTTCTAGGTTTGTAGACTCGTATGCGTGTCGACAGTTCACCGTTTTTGAATAATTAAAGAGTGTGAATTATGATCTCAACATAATAAGTAACAGATGCAGAGAAACTGGGTTCACGCGATCACGGGGAGATGGTGCCGCTACTCTGCGACAATGATTCATACCGAATCCGACGCCGGTCTCTTGGTGCACAGTGAGCTTTTTAAGATGGGGAAAAAAAGCAATTATCGCGGAAATGTTCTAAATACATTCCTGAAGCAAGTACATTTAATTCGCCATCCAGATGTGTTTTATTCACTTAGCATTAATAAATTAAACAAGAGTCTACTGGAACTGCAGTTCACTTGGCTACAGACTAGGTAAACAGTGCAGCACAGCCATTTCTTACTCACGCCATTGCAGGCCAAAGAGCCTAAAAACTAGGGGCATCTCCAGAGAGTATTTTGGCCGAATCTTTCACGGTTGATGCAAAATGCACGAATATGCACTACATATGATTGACATTTCACCTACGTGCTAAAAAGGCAGTGATATTTTATCTACCCATTACATTGGTCCGTACGTCTGTGCTCAGAAACTCTCGTACGGGTGCGTCCGCTGGCAAGTGCGTTTGTGCATGCGAGTGAACCTAATCAGTCGCAAGCGAGCGCGCGAGTGCGTCCCGTCCGTGGGGGTTCGCTTGCGTGTCCGCATTTCATCGCAAGGGCTAGCGTTCACGACCGCAAACCCGTCCGTCTCTGCCAGCGAACTTCAACCCCGCCCTGCGGCGGGGGAGGGAAGCTTTGTGACGCGCGCCCCGCCCGGCAAAGCGGAGGCAGCCCGTTTGATAAAACGTGAGACTAATTGCATTAACCCCTTCCCGCTGGCGATGCCATTAAAAAATACGGGAGGCAAATTCAGAGCGCTCGTGTTTCAAGTCGGCCGCTGCCGCTGCGTAGGTGAACGGCTTTGGGAAGAGGAGGATGAGGAGGATGAGGAGGGAGAGGAGGGAGAGGAGGAGGGCGGTCGTTGGACCTCACCTCGAACTCGGCGTGTTTATTGATCTCGTCGGCGTGCTGCCTCTCCAGGATGAAGTCGGCCTCGCTGCCCACGCGCACGAGGTGCTCCTTCATCGCGTGGCACAGGATCCTGGCGGGACAAAAAACGCGTGGCTTCACGATTACCGTTGTCGCCGCCTTCGGCAGGGCTTAACGGGGCCGTCTCGTTGGCCTTCCCCCGCGCCTCCGATGAGCGCGGTTGGCTACGTACGGTGCGAAGGAAGTTCAACGTATATACAAGGCAGTGTCAGCAGTTCGCGTGTGTTTGCCGCATCCGGACGGTTGGATGAATGGCCCGCAATCCTCCTCAATCTTTTTCTTCATTTTGTTCAGGTGCGCACTGTTGTGTACGATCTGGTATTCGCACTTTCGAACAAATCTATTGTTCTACGACTTGCAGATGGCAGTGGACGTGGTGTCACTTTGCTGTTAGTTATCTCCATAAAATGTGTTTTCCCGCTGTCCAGGTCAGGTCACGCCCCCTCAACAAGCAAATTATAATTTTTAAAATGGGATTTTTTTTTTTTGTGGTAACATGTGGGGTATTCATCATCCTTGTCCTACTTTTGGCTCTCAATTTATAACCAGATTTGCGGAAGAAACAAAAATAGAAATGAATATCCGTGCTCATGAAACCAAAGTTGGCTTAGCACCAGCCTGAGATAGAACCAACTGAGTGCCACACCGTGTTCCTCCTGCCTCGCTGCAGTCACGACCCAACACGATCCGCCCCACCTGGACCTGACCTTCGGCGCCACGACTGGGCCCTGCGCCTAACGAACTGACCAAGGCCTCTCTCTGTGTGCGGCGAAGCCTGCGCCGGTGGGGAGCTAACGCGACGACCCCAAATGGTAGCCGTGGTCGCAAACACAGACGGCGACGCGCATCATTGACGACCGTGTCTGCTAACCAAGCCGAGCGAGCGCTCTGAGAACGACGCGTCACGCAAAACGATAAAGCTGCGCTCACATGGCTCCGAGAAAACGCATGCGCTAAATAAACAAATTAATACCTTCAACCGCTTATGCGTACAGAGAATGCCGATGCGTAGAGAGAATGCTGCTGCAGAAAAACACTTTCGCCACTTCACTCCACACTCGCTCAGCTTCGTGATCCTTGTTCATCCAAAGCTAACTGTCACCGTGGTGTCCACATGGGTGGGCGCACCTACGTTCGTGTCCCAAGCAAGTCTTCGCAACTCCATGTTCCTATGACAGGGAGTGTGGTCTTCAAAGGACAACCTCTATTGCTGGAAATTAATAATGTAGCTCTTTATCCAGGAAAGTTTAACCGAGTCACACGAATCATGCAGGAGGGTCCGGCATTGAGATGTGTGGCCATCTGCAAGGTCATCTCGTGGTGACCTTGCAGCCCAGGCCTACGACACCTGGCATTAGCAAGTAGGCTTCCAACCAAGAAGGTTCTCAACCCTGCCTAGCGTCAGAGATCGGACGGAATCGGGCGCATTATACCTGCGCGTAAAACTCTGCGAACGTGGATGTTTATGTGTAGGTAAGTACAGACATTTTGACCTTGTGCTCATCAGCCGCCATTAAGAAATGTCTCCGGTGCCTGGCATCACGTAGACACGCACACGCGGGCTTTGGCCCGGCGCTCGTTCCCTCCAAGGCGTCAGAACATCGTGTCGCCTCCCACATCATCTGGAGGGGTCAAGGCAATGCCAGCACCAACCCCCACCCTCACCCCAAGCCCAGCGTGTAACCGTATAACCATCGCGTGGCAGCAGGCCGGGCCCGTAAGACGACACCTCGCCCCGGCGACGTTTTCAACAGCGGGCAGGGTCAGGGTGCACGGAGGGGTCAAGGCTCCGGCCGGCCGGTGAACCGACGCTCGTGGACGGTCGGCACCGCGGTCGTGCCCACGGCATTCGGAAAAGCTCACGCACTCACCTCTTCCTGTGCACCTGTGTGGCGTAGACGTGCAATACTAATCCGGGTCAAGAGGTCAACGTGGCCAATGATCACCAATGTCACCACACTCGGCCGCCCTACGCTTCCTTCCTTATGCTAGATCGTGCGACTGTTGCAGCACAGTCGACAGTTGACCTCTAAGGTCCGCTCTTTAATAATTAGTGTCTGACCATCTGGCTTGCGGTCTTCCCCTTGATTGCTGACCCCTGCATTGTCACTCCAATGTCTGTCCCTCCTCCATGCTGCACACGTGTGTACTAATTACAACATATGTCTTTATTACGACATATGTTTATTCACTATAACATATGCATATTGATAATAACATGGGTGCGATACACAATAACGTTTGCATTAATTGTACGAGTACTAGATTTATTTTCGCGTGTGTGTATTAATTATAACATACGTGACTCAACTGTAACGTAGCTGTATGAATCGTAACGTGTGCGTCTGCGTCCAAATGCAGGTCCACACATCTGTAATATATTTACTGTCCTCATCAAATTGGTAGAGCGGTGGCACAGCGGTGAGCGCACGGCGCTCTGAACCTGGTGACCCGAGTTAATTCCTGGCCACCCGAGTTAATTCCTGGCCACATCAAGCGTGAGGGGCGAGTTAATTCTGAAATGGTCCCGGGCTCCTCTGTTCACCAACCCGCAGCGACCAGTGTGGTGAAGTATGGTTAACAAGCCTTCATTACTCGCAGACCATGGGGAGGCCTTCATTCAGCAGTCGATTTCAAATCGACTGTAAACACATATCAATCTTATTATATTGTTATCGGGCCTAATTGAGTTTTGTGTACGGGTGATTTATGGGCAAATAAATAAAAGCCAAGCAATATTGTAAAATAAATATTTGCAGGAAAAACTCTGACATTTCGAGTTGCCAAGGCATCCTTCTGCCTTCTGCCTGTACCTCCAATTAGCACGGTGGCTACGTATGGTGCGTAAGAAGTTCAACGTACATACATAATGAGTTCATATAGTAGAGGAGCATTCGCATGGGTGACCACACAAATGCATTGCCTGGACAAGGTATTAAAGGTGACCACCACTTTGTCAGGAAGATGGAAAGAGCTGCTCGTTGTGGGTGACAAAATGTTTGTGGGTCGAGCTGGGGTTGTACCAGGACAAGGCCATTCTGATCATATAATCTTCACAAACATACAAAATAATAATGATACCACAAACAGATTAGGGAAAAAATAACGTGCACGCGTAGATTATGTAACGCTTCCCAATATGCGTTTGGCTTCGGAAGTATTTAATTAGCAGTACAGAAGTCAAAGGGTAGCTCTAAGGGCAAGATGCTTTTGCATACAGCCCCTAGCGCTTTTGGTTTGTCTCCAGCTTTAGAACAATCATTTGATTCATGTGGATTCATCATCCGAAAAAGAAAAGAAAACCCTCTTGCAGATTCAAATTGGAATGGTTTACATACTTCAGAAGGACTCTGAAATATTGCCTGCCTGTCATATCCTGCCTGAGGCTCTAGGTGTTCCCTAAATACAGAACCTATGAAGATTTGTGACAAATGAGAAGGCGTATAAACGAGGGCCGTACTTCACATTTAGCAGCAAAACATCCACCCGAGCCCAAATGCTTCCATGAGCTTTAATTTCGCTGCTCAAACTTGTTCCTGAGAGCAACACTGCATCAAGTCCTGCATCGTACATGAAGGCGTTAACAAAACAAACAAAAAAAATACCAACAGCAACAAAGGAGAAAAAAAAATGAAACACAGATTCAAACGGGGAAATGCATTTAGCTACTACCCTTGGGTTTAATGACGACTAAATGGCATAACTACGGCAAGCTCTTAAACGGGATTTAGGTGTTTAGGTGTTTAAAGTTCTCCGCGGGAATCAATGCCGGTGACAAAATAAAAGACGCGGCGAGCAATAATGGCGCGGCACTATCGGAAACGACGGCCGTTGGTGAGCGGGGTTCAAAGCATGAGGCCAATCAAGGCTGATCCCTAACGACTTTGGGTGGGGAAATATTTTAATGCGCCGTACGCAACACTACCCATCCGGGATCGGTTTTCCGTAAGTAATATTGATTGGCCTCAGCCCGTGCATGCAAGAATCGACCTGTAAGTGCCCCCTTTTCCTGCCCCTCCGGCCCTTAACCCCATACCGCCCATCCCGCCCCCCTTCCACCCGGACAAACTCTGCCTTCCATAACCTCATCCTCTCGCCTCCATCCCCCCCATCTCTCATCTGCGCGCTGCCACCTCCTCTCACTGCCGGCACTCTTTTTTTTGCCTGCTGCCTTGGTCCAGGCTGGCACAGGAAGGTCAGTGTGGAAATCAGCAGTGATTTTCTGAGCCGAGAGCCGGTGCGTATTTGAGTGAGGTTTCTCTACGGGACTCTCCTGGGCATTTAAAAAAAGAAAGGGGGAAATAAATCAAAATGAAAGCAACACGTTACGAAAATATTTGTACGGTATGTTTTTTTTCTCTCTCGTCAAATTTCTCAACTGGCGAAGGGGTGGGTTGGGGGTTTTGTGAAGATAATCTCCTTCTTGAGTAACAATTAAGGTTGCACACTTGGGATTCTAACCGAAACTGGTTTGTGTAGAGATTAGGTCATCGGCCACATTACGGTGGATTTTTTGTTTTCTTTAAAAGTACAGCCACATGGTGAGCTGGGCATAACTTTGTAGGTCTAAGATGTCTCATAGGAAACTGTGCAAATATGATCACAGTAAGTTTAAATTGCAAAAAAGACAATAACTGTTAGAGTACAAGTGAGCAATGCACCTTGTTCACGAAGCGTTTGGACTTCATAAAAATTATCCTACCGAGGTCTAGTCACAACGCAAAAAACAAAATAAGCAAAGTCTGTCTTCACGCTTTAGAGAAAGCTAGTCCCTTGGCCAATGTGCCTTCTGGACCGGTGTGTAGAAGCAGGATGTGTTTAAGTAGGCAAACTCTGGACTGGTTCCAACCTTCTGGGTCTCATCAGCAAAGTCAACCTCTGACAACTTTGATGTGATGCTGTCATATGGTATAGGTTGGAGCCATCCATTTAAGCTATCATGGAAGAAAAAAAAATCACTGGACAGACAGCTATAAGAGTTTTTTGCATTGTCTTTGTACAGTTCGCCTTTTGGCGTTCTCTGGTCTGACACTGGTGAGACAAGGCTATAAAGAAGGCTGTCTCTAGTGTAGGCCAATCAGTCGCAAGGACAACGCTGATATTATATTATCAGAGCGCGTTTATTTGCATGTTTTGCCACAAGTATGTGCGGTTAATGCAGACTTGATCCCTTGCCAAAAGCATCCATTTTGGTGTTTGAACATCTTAACACCTGTTTTGTTGCCAGAAAGGGGGCAAAACCTATACTTATTTTTCATTATTTTGAGACTGGCAAAAAGGCCCCATAGATGGACCAACTCATTATGTGCTGTTGCAGAGAAGTGTGGGTAACAGCATATACAATTAAAAGATGATAGACTGATGAAGTCTTCAATCCAGAGCGCCACACATTAGATTGGCTCTGGAAGACGCCAGCAGGACTACTCGAGGAGTCCCAACAATAGCCATGCTCGGCAGAATGGATTAGGGCTTGGCACAAAATTGCCTGATGATAGCAAAATTAAGTTAAGCTTTAAAAAAAATCTGCATTGTACCTTGAAATTCTTTCACACCGTAAGTGGCCAACCATGCTAATCGGAGGTGCGATTATTTAACTCATCGATGTAAGTGAAAATATGAGGCCCGTGGCTCATGGAAACTGGACGTAAGAACTGATAGGTAGGTAGATGGGTTCTTGGGTGCCCCAGGATTAGTTCAGAAATCACTCACCACTGATGTTAGCCATAGCGGGGAAACGTCACTCAGGTGGCTGGTTTAAAAGCTATGTGTTGCAGGCCCACTATGCTAACGCTCCACCCAACGAGGCATGACAGCATATGAAAGATTCATTTTTACGTGTAATCTACATGACAATGCAATTCAAAAACACGTGCATAACGCCACAATTAATATTCAAATAACTTGTTGAACAATGACCTGCTCATCATTCTAAAAGCCCTTCCAATTGATAAAGACGTTTGCCATTCTGCTTATAACTCGAGAACAAGTGTAGGATGGGGATGATCAATATTTGAAAAAGCTGCAAAAAATACTCCTTTCATGAAGGCAACCATCACCAAAAAATCCCCTTTGAATGGACTTTTTTTTTTCTTTGAGCGGAGGTGACCTAACCTTTAGGGCGAGCAAATTATTTTATGGAGAGAACTAATAGCTTAGCGACCAGCACCTCACTGCCATCCACAAGTCACAAAGAAACAAATAGAGCAAACACCACATGGAAACGCGGCAAAGTGAGAGAGCGGGGAATGCATGCCATTCATAATCCATCCATTGTGGTGCACAGATGACAACTGCGGATCAGGCTAAGGGAAGGAGAAGGCTGTCCAAATCCAGCTGTTTCTTCAGCGGAGACAAATTCGTCCAATCGATCGGGCACAACAGAATGAGCAAGTGTGATCTCCCGGGTGAGTCCACACATCCGAGTATTTCTCCTCTCCAGTTTTCACGACGCACTCCGACTGCGGGCATCTTCACTTCCGCTCCAGAAGATGCCCCGCAGCCGTAGTTGCGTGGTGAAAGCTTCGCACGAAGAACGCCTTCGACAGCGAGTGGCCGAATCAGCGAGACCACAGCCGAGATACGAGTGCTGCAGGACACGCGATCGCCAGCGAGCCAGCGAGCCAGCGAGCGAGCGCTCGTCAAACGGCAGAAGCAAAAACTCGATTGTAAAAGCAGCGTTCCCCGGGCGCCACCGCGATGACCACTCACCGGCCCTCATTGACCAGCTCGATGAAGGCCAGCCCCGCGTGCTTCTGGATGGAGTTCTGCCATTCCTACGAGAACACGGAGACACGGGCAGACGAGCGTGTTACGGAGGGGTGGGGGAGGTGGGGGGGGTGGGGGGGGGGGGGGGGGGCGAGCGCGGCAGCAGGAAACCCGGCGAGATGCGCTTAACGACCTTCGGCAAATCAGGGCACGCCGGACGTTAATTGCGCGCCGGATCAATGCAATCAGGTGGCTTAATGCACTTTGAAAAAAGCCGACGTGGACTGAACGCCGGCCGTGCCGCGCCACGGCGCATCGGCGGGAGTGACGAGACGCAGAACCGAGAGCTGAGGAGGAGAGGTTCGACAGCTTGCCATCGTGATTTGATCGAAGAAATTAATAATTTTTCTGGTCTCATTTATTTTTTTACACCCTCTCATTTGTATTGTTTTTTTCTTTGTTCCGTATCATCAGTGCAGTTTTGCTCACTCCGTTTTACCATTAATGTGTACGTGAGCGTGTCATTTCAAGGAGCTTGCATATATTGCAAGTGATCGATTCTCACTTGTATGATTCAATGCGTGTAATGGGTGCATAAGATTCAATTATAATTGTTGATCTGCGTGTCGACCCGAGTGGCAGCACAGCTCTGCCGGGCCCGGTCAATGATGCCGTTTCCATTGATTGACCTTTTCAGTCTAACATAAAATGTATTCTTAACCAAAATACCGGCAGGAATAACATATATTCTTAAAAACACAGATGTATTTTTAACCAATGGCAAGTTTACTTTATTTAAATAAATGCACTACACGTTGAGCAGCCGAGGACTCTGTAGCAAATGCATTGTTGGACTGTACTTCCACGCTACGGCGTCTATGCTCCCCGCCTTTACAAACTCACGTGAATGAAAAACACTCACATGGTCGATAACACAGCGGCCTTAAAATAAATCACACATATATACAAAAGGCGATGTTGTGGGCAATGGTCCTTTTTGATAGCACACAAGCCTACTGAGGTAGTGCCAAATCAGTCCTATGATCCGCATGGCGTGTGGGGAGCCGCTCATTCAGCAGCGGGTTGACATGTCTGTTGCATGCAAGCATTCGCTCGCGTGACCGAGTTGTTATTGTTCCTCTTCAATCTGACACCTGCGCGCTCAGCAGCAGTGGAATCCAGCTAACCTTGAGTGCGCCCTCAAGCGGGTGAGACTGAGAACCATGAGGAAAAACCGTGGGCAGGATTGACCGTGCCCCCCCCCCCCCGCACCCCTTGGCACACACCGAGGCTCACCCTTGTTCGACGAGCCGCAAGTCTCAAGCACGACGGGCTTCTCTCTGCGGTAGGGTCATGGGATTTCCCCGCAGCGCGTTATCTGCGATGCTCAGGCATTGAGCCGCGGACCTGGAGGTCACGACTTCTGACCCCAAAACTGCCAGGCCACCAGGTATTCCACCCGCAATATTTCACCCGCCGCTAATTAAAAACTGAACGGATTGCCAGAGCACAATGGCAATAAAAACAGTGTAGGTGTGTGTGTGTGTGAATTGGAGAGCAGTGGCATAGTAGCTAGCGCACCGAGCTGTGAAGCTGGCCACCTCGGCATGGTTAGCATCAGTTGCGATTATCTGAACTGGTCTTGGGCCTACTCTAGATCGACTCAGGCTTAAACGGGTATCTGGTGTGGTGTGTAAACATTAGCACTCAGGTGATGAAGGTAGCCGGCCATCACGTGATGCAGGCCACATCACCCCCCTCCGTGCACAGCATCGGGCTTAAGATGCTTCAAAACAGCACATGCCACAACAACCGATGTAAGCTACACGGGGAAATCTTTGTCTTCACTATGACAGATACAATTGCACCAGGTGAGCAGAGTTTGTTTGAAAATTCTGGCAGACAGGAAGGGGTGCTTTCAATAAGCGGGTGGCATATCCTCACGAGCCAGTGAGCGCCTATCGATTGCAACGGCGATATTGTTTGATTATCTGAACTGGTATTGGGCCTACTCTAGATCGACTCAGGCTTAAACGGGTATCTGGTGTGGCGTGTAAACATTAGCACTCAGGTGATGAAGGTAGCCAGCCATCACGTGATGCAGGCCACATCACCCCCCTCCGTGCACAGCATCGGGCTTAAGATGCTTCAAAACAGCACATGCCACAACAACCGATGTAAGCTACACCAGGTGAGCAGAGTTTGTTTGAAAATTCTGGCAGACAGGAAGGGGTGCTTTCAATAAGCGGGTGGCATATCCTCACGAGCCAGTGAGCGCCTATCGATTGCAACGGCGATATTGTTCGGATCAAAATGGATGCTCCTAGTCCGGACCTCGACCCATCGACATGGCTCACATCGTGACGGGTAATAACGCAAAGTGGTAAATGTGAGACACGTTAATTTTTTTAAACCGCACTTTTCTCTGGTCATGGGACATAACGCAGCGTGGCGACACTCCTGCTTCATGAGAAAGTGCTCTTTCAGGTCCATCGATCCACACTTTTACTGCGGAACAAAAAAGCAAGCGACAGTTGCTTCCCATCAGCAGCTTTCATCTCCGTCAAGTCACCTTCTGAATGTAGAACTTCTTTTGCACCGTACTTAGCCAACTGCGCTAATTGGAAGTGCAGGGGGATGACAACCAACGAAACACACAAAAAGCAGTTCTAGAGAAGTGACTTTTCAATCGAGATTTATAAGTACACAGCTCAAGTGGCTTCCTAATATTGGAAGGAAGAGCGTTCCAGACGGCGACAGAAGCGCAGCTGAAAGCGCGCGATGCGGCGAGCATATTTGTTCAATGGCTAGCCAAAAGCCGCTGTGAGGATGACCGAAATTCACTTGCTGATGGTTTATGCTTCAGTGTCAAACCCCACAGCTCGGGGCCTGGATATAAGTTATTCCGGCCTTAAAGCCAGGACTATGTGTTGGGCCCAATCCCGTGTCCCTTTGGAGATGTGGATCTCAGGAAAATATAGAGGTTGTCCTCCACAAGTCAGGTCCCTGACTCATCGTATGCATGTATGTACAGCGAGGGAAAAAAAGTATTTGATCCCCTGCTGATTTTGTACGTTTGCCCACTGACAAAGAAATGATCAGTCTATAATTTTAATGGTAGGTTTATTTGAACAGTGAGAGACAGAATAACAACAAGAAAATCCAGAAAAACGTATGTCAAAAATGTTGTAAATTGATTTGCATTTTAATGAGGGAAATAAGTATTTGACCCCCTCTCAATCAGAAAGATTTCTGGCTCCCAGGTGTCTTTTATATAGGAAACGAGCTGAGATTAGGAGCACACTCTTAAAGGGAGTGCTCCTAATCTCAGCTTGTTACCTGTATAAAAGACACCTGTCCACAGAAGCAATCAATCAATCAATCAGATTCCAAACTCTCCACCATGGCCAAGACCAAAGAGCTCTCCAAGAATGTCAGGGACAAGATTGTAGACCTACACAAGGCTGGAATGGGCTACAAGACCATTGCCAAGCAGCTTGGTGAGAAGGTGACAACAGTTGGTGCGATTATTCACAAATGGAAGAAACACAAGAACTGTCAATCTCCCTCGACCTGGGGCTCCATGCAAGATCTCACCTCGTGGAGTTGCAATGATCATGTGAACGGTGAGGAATCAACCCAGAACTACACGGGAAGATCTTGTCAATGATCTCAAGGCAGCTGGGACCATAGTCACCAAGAAAACAATTGGTAACACACTACGCCGTGAAGGTGTGAAATCCTGCAACGCCTGCAAGGTCCCCCTGCTCAAGAAAGCACATATACATGCCCATCTGAAGTTTGCCAATGAACATCTGAATGATTCAGCAGACAACTGGGTGAAAGTGTTGTGGTCAGATGAGACCAAAATGGAGCTCTTTGGCATCAACTCAACTCGCCATGTTTGGAGGAGGAGGAATGCTGCCTATGACCCCAAGAACACCATCCCCACCATAAAACATGGAGGTGGAAACATGCTTTGGGGGTGTTTTTCTGCTAAGGGGACAGGGCAACTGCACCGCATCAAAGGGACGATGGACGGGGCCATGTACCGGCAAATCTTGGGTGAAAACCTCCTTCCCTCAGCCAGGGCATTGAAAATGGGTCATGGATGGGTATTCCAGCATGACAATGACCCAAAACACACGGCCAAGGCAACAAAGGAGTGGCTCAAGAAGAAGCACATTAAGGTCCTGGAGTGGCCTAGCCAGTCTCCAGACCTTAATCCGATAGAAAATCTGTGGAGAGAGCTGAAGGTTCGAGTTGCCAAACGTCAGCCTCCAAACCTTAATGACTTGGAGAAGATCTGCAAAGAGGAATGGGACAAAATCCCTCCTGAGATGTGTGCAAACCTGGTGGCCAACTAGAAAAAACGTCTGACCTCTGTGATTGATAACAAGGGTTTTGCCACCAAGTACTAAGACATGTTTTGCAGAGGGGTCCAATACTTATTTCCCTAATTAAAATGGAAATCAATTTATAACATTTTTGACATGCGTTTTCCTGGATTTTGTTGTTGTTATTCTGCCTCACTGTTCAAATAAACCTACCATTAAAATTATAGACTGATCATTTCTTTGACAGTGGGGCAAACGTACAAAATCAGCAGGGGATCAAATACTTTTTTCCCTCACTGTATGTATGTTGAACTTCTTCACCATACATAGCCAACCGTGCTAATCGGAGATTCGGGGTAATCGTAGGTGTCACCTATAGTGTCGCTGAAGCATAAATTTGGGCCCACGGACACCCTCCAACCTACACTGACCAGGACTCGCACGGAAGTCAGTGCAACCATGGGCTCTGTCAAGGTCTTGGGGGAACTATTCATCCACGTCTGACGATTCAATGGCCTGTTGCAATTCAGGGGGTCGCGATTCAGTTCAACATGTACGAACAAAAAAGATACGTTACCTCAGAGTAACAACATGCTAAGTCTACCCTTCAGGCCCCTCATGGCGTTAATGAGAGACCACAACTACAAGACCGGTGAGAGCTTGCCGGCATAATGATAACTGTGCCGAAACCGAATGGAGACAAACGCGGCGGCGAGGCAAGACGGAGCAGT